TTGTCCGTTGCTTGCCTTGTTAATGTTGTTGTTACTATGTTCAATTGCGTAGCCTGCGAGCAATGCAAGTTGTGCGTTTGCTGAGCGCCGTTAATCTTACTCCGTTGCGTTTTCTGTCCTCGTCCGTTTTGTCATTGCGTCCGTCTGCTGTTGCGTCGCCCTGTTACTACCCTACACTATAAGGATAAAATGGGTATATCTACTTTGCTTAAATTATGACTTCATTATTTTCTCTTAATTCTAACAAGTGTACTTAAAACTATTGTATTACTGGGGCGTAAAAATGTAATACTTCACACTTTTATACACAAACGCAATGGAAAATACCATCAAAGAAGTAATAACTAGAAAGTTACCAGATAGGCTTTTCATGACACTAGCTAGATTCGACATAACAACTGTCACAAATCTTAAGCAAGTAGCTCAAAGAGAGGGTCTATACGAAAATAATACAGAAATAAAGAAATCAAATCAAAGCCAACAAAGTGGAAAATATTTCCCCCAATCTATAGGTTCATCACCAAGTACTTCCCAAACTAATCAAGCTGGTCAACAGCCAAAATCGGATAATAATCCGCCTTCATTCAAAGAATTCCAACAGAAACTAAATCAAGGAAGAGTTCAGAACCCCTTGAATTATCAAACACATATGTATTCAAATTCTCAGGAGAATCCTCCTAATCAACCAATGAAAAGACAAAGAGAAAGTAACAGTGGAATAAGCAGGATGGACACATCCGAAAATTTTCATCAAGAAGCCTTGGAACAGGAAGAGTCAGAGAACGAGACAGAAATCCATTCATTAGAATAATTCTTAATAATCAACCCCTCAAATGTATTGTTGACACTGGATCATCAATAAACATTCTATCACAAAATTTCTTTAATTTCAAAACTCACTCAGAGAATTTACAAGTCCATACTATCAATGGTAGTATTGAATTAAAAGAAACTGTTTTATTTGCACCTAGCAAACTTTGTCCAAATCACCAAAGATTTTACATTCACAACTTTTCAAACAATTACGATGTGCTAATCGGAAGAAAATATTTACAAGCTTGTAAAGCCCAAATTAATTATATCAAAGATTGCATAACTTTAGGAAGTTATACCTTTTATTTTAAATACGAAGATGAAACAGATCACGAAAAAGGAATCGAACAAAAACAATTTGACCCAATAATAACTAATGACYCAGATATCAATTTTGCAATTAATATTGAAATAAGCGAAAAAAATGAATATCGATAAGATCACTTAAACCCAGAAGAAACCGAAAAATTAAAAAAGGTGTTATTCGAGTTCAGTGATATCCAGTACCGTGAAGGTGAAAATTTGACCTTTACTAGTACGATAAAACACTCGATCCATACAAAACATGAAGGCGTTATTTATAAAAAACCTTATAAATACCCTCAAACCTTCGACCAAGAGGTCAATAAACAAATCCAAGAAATGATAGAACAAGGTATTATTCGAAAATCGAAATCACCTTATTGTTCT